AGAAAGAAAGGAGGGAGGGAGGGAGGGAGGGAAGGAGAGAAGGAGAGAAGGAAAGAAAGAGGGATGGAGGGAAGGAGGGAGAGAGGGAGGGAGGAAGCAAGAGAGGCAGGAAGACAGAAAGAAAGAGAGGAAGTAAAGCAGGCAGGCAAGCAAGAGCAACATGCTCCCTGCACCCAGTATTGGATGGTGTGCACTGGGGAGAGAGAAAGAGGCCAGGAAGAAGAGCACCCAGGAAGGTTCTGTAAGAGGAGGCTTCCTGTCCAGGGTACCTCCCAGTGGTCTTGTTAACGGCACCCTCCCTTCCCTCCCCTCCTGGCTTAGGAGGCCCAAGCTGGCCCAGCTGGCAGTCACCGCGATGACGCGCAGGATGTTCTGGCACGGGCTGACAGGGTTGTAGGGCCCCAGGAAGCACTTGTTGTTCTCATACAGTTCCTTCTTGTTGATATCTTCTTTGTCTCTGGCTCCTGCGGGGAAAAACCTTCTTACAAAGCCTGATCTATTGCTATTTTCTGTTAAACCCAAATAACCAACACAGTTCATTTTCACACAGTGAAAAAACCCAGGCACCCAAGTCAAGAAACAACTTAACCAGCACCCCAGAAGTCCCTCCCATGCACTGCTCTTAGCACCCACTGTTCTGGTTTCTGAACCCCTAGGTAGAGTTCCTTGTTTTTGAACTTTACATAAACGGACTCACATAATGTTATCCCCATGTCTGGTTCTGCCCCGCAGTGCCCAGCGCTGGTTCTCATTCATTCTCAGCACAGCATGATCTGCCATCCTGGGAAGGCCTGCAGTGTGTATGCCTGTCCTACTTGGCATGCACATCTGGACTGCTTCCAGTTCTCCTGCACAGTGCTGCCATGAACACTGTAGTCATGTCTGCTGGTGAATAGAACTATGCTTCTGCCAGGGATGTGCCAGGAGAGGCTCACAGGTAGGCATAAGATTCACCTTCCCGAGATACACTGGACTGCTTTCCACGGTGGGGCCCAGCTGTGTTTCCACTTGCATTATCTGTTTCGCTTGCTCTTCTGGTGGGCAATAGCTTTTTAAATGTTGCTTTTGCTATGCTGGGGATGGAACCCAGGGCCTGACACATGCTAGACAAGCATCACTGAACACCTGTTTTGGTTTGTTTTAGTTTTTGTGGGTTATTTTTGTTTGGTTGTTGTTGTTGTTGTTATTGTTGTTGTTTGGTTTGCTTCTTTGAGACAGGGGCTCATGTAGTCCAGGCCGGCCTCCAACTTTCCATCTTCCTGCCTCTGCCCCTCAGTACTGCTGAACATGTGCCATCAGGCCTAACGCGAGCAATACCATTTTAAAATTCTAATCTCCATAGCCCCTGATAGTCCCAGGCCCCTATGGTGACTTTTGTAGGGGGGGTGTCTTTTTTAAACAATTTATTATTTTTGTTTATGAGTGCCTGCGTGAGCTTATGTGCACCACATGCATGGGAGGCCCGAAGGCATCAGATCCCCTGGAACTAGAGTTCCAGGCAGTAGTAAGCCACCTGATATGGGTGATGGGAACTGAACCCAGATCCTTTGCAAGAGCAGTAAGCTAAGCGTTGAGGGTCCCAGCTTGGTTTCTGGTTCTTTGGTTGGTTGGTTAGTTGGTTGGCTGGGGTTTTTTCAAGACAGGGTCTCACTATGTAGCCTTGACTGGCCTGGAACTTACTATGCAGACCAAAAGTGTGTACCACCACGCCCAGCCCCTCTGCTGCTTTTTCCCTCAGTGCTTGTCATCCGACTTACTCTGCACTTATTTTTCCCATTGTCTGTCTCTTGGCAGTGAGAAGGTAAACCAAAGGGAGGAATGCGTAATGATCTCTTTTCAAGGCTGTGTCCCCAGAGCTAGAACAGTACTGGGCACAGAGGGAGTCCATCAACACATTTAGGGACTGTGCCCTCACTGGGTGCAGGCCTGAGTCCTACCTAGATCCCTCCAAGCAGTGCAAAGCTTGAGCACATGAAAGGGCCACTGAGGGGGTAAGTGCACAGAACATGTGCTGCCTGGGGGAGGAGTGGGACTCTGAGGCCAAGCACACCTGGTTGCTAGCCTTATTACCCCCCCCAAAACACAGGTTGCTAGCCTAGGCTAAGTTGCCCCCTCTTCAAGGGTAACTGTGGCCTAGGGCTCCCCTAGAGAACACAGGGCACTTAGTTCAATTTGAATTTCAGAGGAACAGATCATAGTACAGTGTGTCTCAAATACAATTAAAATGATTCATCGTTCATCTGAAATTAAACTGAACTGGGTGTCCTACATTTCTAGACAATTCTGACAGCCTTACTTTGGTCTGTACTCCTAGGGCTGACCATTATTGTGGCTTGCCGTTCATCCACCACACGGAGTGTGTGAGTAGCCCCTTGTCAGTGGAGAAATCTCTGAGGAACCAAATGTTGCTTCCCAAATAAATGCTGGAGATGTGAAAGAACAGGGACCCCAGACAGATCCCAGAAGGTGACAGGGATGGGGGGTGGTGCAACCTGAGCTGGTTTCTTCCTATGCACTTTTATAAAGAATATCATTTAATATTTCAAAAAGCTGAGAATTACACTCTACTGTAAAGATGAGAAAATCTAGACAAGCCAAGTCAAATGCTTATCTGAGGTCACTCAGCTGGGAAAGGTCAGGACCAGGGTCAGGTTTGATATGTAGGCCACTCTGCCTCCAGAGCCAGGGGAGTCTAAACAACTAGCCAAGGTCCTCTGGTTGAGGCAGAGTCAGAGCTATAGAGAAAGAAAGCCAGGAGGTTGGAGGCAGCTGACACTGCGTACCCCTGGAAGTAGTGTCAGTCAAGGGCAGGCCTTATCAAGGGCTCCCTGAAGCCTGAGTTCAGGACCTGGTCTCACAGGCTCCAGCTACTCCAGATTCTAAGATAGGATGCAGCCTTTCTTCATTCCTAAATATGCAGTCAGTAAGCATGGCCTGTGCCAGGTCAGGAAATACAGCAGTGACCACGACAACCCTGCCCTACCCTCATGGCGCTAAAGTCTAGTCGAGAAGACAGACGAGAAGATGACAGAGCCATAATGTGTTGGATGGACCATGGAAGGAGAAATTATGCTTGGAATAAGGAAAGGCTCAGCTAATAGAAAGATAGCATCCGTCAAATAGATGTATTTGCTGGGCAGACGGCAGCACACAGCTGGAATCATAGCTCTCAGGAGGCTAAGGCAGGAGAAATGAAAGTTCAAAATCAGCCAGAGCTATGTAACAAGAACCCATCTCAAAAACAAAACAAGCACTAAAAATAAAGGTTTGGGGCTAGAGAGATGGCTTAGTGGTTAAGAGTATTGGCTGCTCTTACAGAAGGCACGAGTTCAAATCTTAGCACCCACATGGCAGCTAACTGTCCATATCTCAGAGGGTATCTGACACCCTCTTCTGGACTTCTCGGGCATTGCATGACATGGGTGCACTTACATATATTCAAGCAATACACTCATACACATAAAAATAAATAAATATTAAAAATTAAAAATAAATAAATGTTTGTTTGCACCTATACCAAGATTATAGGTTAGTGGTAGGGCTTGCCATTATAGTTTAGGAGGCCCCAGGAAGGAAAGAGGAAGGAAGGAAGAAAGGGATCATGATCAGAGAAGCTATTTTCTTGGTACACCTTTTTGGGTTTCTAGACTGATAACAAAGAAAAACAAAAACAAAAACAAAAACAAACAGAGAAAAAAC